AAGATAATTATAACATATGTATATAGATAGAAAGATAACGCAAGATTTAGACCACAGTAACAGTGTTTATTAATCTTTTTCAACATAAATCATCGTTAAAGAAAGTAGAGAAGTAATTAAGCAGGGAATAAAAAAAATAAGGATAGGGGGATACTTTTACTTTTAATTTATTTGTATTTCCACTTTCAACATGAAAAGTAGTATCGCGTTAGGCATCAATACACAAACAGAACAGATACAATGAAGAGATTAATATGCAACGGCAAAAGTTTCTAACACGACGTGATTGAAGAGAATTTGTATTTCCACAGCATCGTTAGTCTCAACTCGATAATACTTTCGTACTATTTACTACATTTGAGAATACTAATCAGTGTGTGTGTGTGTGTGTGTGTGTGTGTGTGTGTGGGGGGGGGGGAGGCGCTTTTCCCTTCAAAGTACACTCAACGCAAATCCATCGATAAATCCGACTCGATAAACGAGGGTTCCCTGGATTAATTAAGAGTCATCGTATTCCGTAATCAATGTTGCAAATTTGATCGGTTAGGCGCCGCGGCCTGGCACGGCCTTCGAGAGCTCTTCTCGCTCGATTTGTCCGTAAGCACGCCTACAACCCCTAAACCACCCAATTCTCAAGAGAGGCGACTCTTTCGCGCAACGTTCGCGGAACGCTGGCACTGGCAGGTCGTCCCGGGTGTGACTACGTAGAACGTACAACAACATCGTCCGGTCCATTTTTGCCGGCGAGTGCGGCGCGATGCGGCACGCAATGCGACCGGACGATGTTGGGAAGGAACGGGAGTGCCGTTTTCTCGCTTTGCGCGCGCAACTACAGGGAGAGAGGAAGACCGGTCGTCGCGAGGGTGGGTGGTGGATATGAGTGCCGGATACGCGGGTGTGCTACGAGGGATTTGCACGCGCGCGCGTCTCGCGTCCGCGTGGCTCGCGTGTCATCGTGACGGCTGATGACGGCCGAGCGGAACGCGCAAACACGCGCGGCGAATTCGCTTCGGCTGTCGTCATCGCTACGAGCGGTCGGCGGTCGGCAGTCAGTCCCTCGACGGCACGCTCCGTGAGTGTGTGCGCGGTAGCCACGCGAGTACGTGCATGTGGCCGAGACGACATCGACAGCGACGACGACAACGACGACGACGACGACGACGACGACGACGACGACGACGTCCACGTTCCTTGTCGGAATCGAGTCTCCTTGCTCCAAGCTGTGCCTGGAACCCGGCTCTCATCACCGTGCGACATGTGAGTGCGCGACATGTAATCGACCGCGGGAATGACCGCGTGCCCTTCCTTCCGACAACTATAACGCGACAGCGCGTCCTACTGATCGATCCGCACAATTCTCGGCCTCTTTCCCGTTCTGCCTCCGTCCGGGTATTCTCGTCTCTCTCGACGCCGCGCCGTCGCGTCATCCCGTTGTCTCCGTCGTTAATCCTCCTTGATATTCTTGCAAATGATTACCTTACGTTACATTAAGTTGAAGAATAAATATCTCTTGTATTCGTATTCGTATTTCAAGCGCCGTATTAAAGCCGTATGTAATTATGATTACACTTTGCGATACGTTAAAATTAACGAATATATACTCGAAATTGTTTTGCGACAAATGGAAGAAAAAAGAGCTTCGGAAGAGGGTCGGAAGCATTCGATAGCTTATTCGACGAGTCTTAAAATCTATGTATCGGAACAGATTGAAACTAGGGCGAATGTGGCTCTCCCTGAATACACGCTCGGAACGAGTTTCAACCTGACAACGCGTTTAATTTTTATGTATATTTTATATTACATAAAGTACAAATAAATTTCAGACTCGAATTGCGTTCGATTAGCAACGCTAAGCGCGAATGTGTGCGCGCGCGCGCGTGGAGCGATATACATGTATGATATATATAATTTTTATCGTGTCGCGAGAGCAAGATGAAAACGGATCGCGAATATAGATCTTTGGTCACTGTATCATGCGAATTTTGATGGTGATACTGAATGGGACACAGTCACGTTACGTTGTATCGCAAAAATAAATGTCGGGATTTAACGAGTGGATTGTCCGGTGCAACGTCAAGTGCAAATATTCGTAATTATTGGAGTTTGAAATGAAAGGCGGAGGTACGATAACGACGAGTTGACGATTGTCAAGTATCAAGAACAAGAGCACGTCTCGGACGATCGGTATTTTATTCGCTTTAAGCGCCAGCGCGATGCGCGAATTTAAATAGTGACATTTAAACGCAACAAATTTTTGAAATCTCCTAACCTTTGAACACACTATTACGCTTCGATTCTCGGTCTCGGTCGATGATATCGAATGTGATTGTCACGTGACGTTTCGCATGAACGTAACGAAATGTCGCAACGTTTAGCATTAATTATTAATAGCGGATCGAGCATTCGAATTTTCTTGGCCTCGTACAGTCGACATCGATCGCAGTTTTGACAAGCGACGGCACGTCGGCACGTTCGTTCGATCGGCTGACTCTGTAGGTCAATCGGAGAAGCCGGAAGAGTCGATCTTCCTTGCGCTTGTACGCGAACGGGAAGTACCCGGGATGTGTCATGCCGAATACATCCTTTATTAACGCACGAAGATCTCGGGAGACGTTGGGAGACGTAGGGAGACATCCCTGCCGCATTGTGTGCAGTGTCGTGGGTCGCGGGTCGTGGGTCGCGGGTCGCGGGTCGCGGGTCGCGAGTCGCGGGTCGCGGGTCGCGGGTCGTGGGTGTTACGCTCCGGTACAACATAGACGATCGATATTGCTCTAACGCTGATAAGAAAGGTCATAAAACACACACACACACACACACACACACACACACTCACACACACACACAACATAGCAGGGGAAGAGGAAAGAGATTAAACCGGGGGATATAGTTCGTTTCGAGAGCTCGGATTTCAGTGGCATGGATACGCGAGACACTACGCCGTGAAAGTCGAGACGTGACAACTGACGTGAGGACTTCTCTCATGTATCTGTTACTTTCGAGAAATAAAAAATAATTGCTAATGTAGTATCATTTTTTATTTCTAATAGAGATTGCATTCTTACAAATTTTGCATTCCGTTTGTCGACTACAATCGATCTCATCGATATTGTCCATCTTTAACTCGAATCTTTCCTGTATCTTTGGAGATACAATGGAGAAAAGAGGCTCTCAGAATGTTTACAGCTAAAGATTAAGTTACCGAATGATTCAACGGAGAAATATTTATCCTTTTGTTGATTTCTTACAGTAGTACATCTTTTCGATCGGATATCCTATTCTGCGTAATCTATTGGTTATTTAATTTATTTCTTGTGACAAATTTGTAGTTGTTTTGATATTCAATTTAAGAATAACGAAATATTTTGGGAGAACATAACGACATCTTAAACTTATGTAATTTTGAAGAGAATGTATTTTTGTATGACCTTTTTTGTATGAACTTTTATTTATAGTACATACAATAGATTTCGTTAAATAATTTTCTTCATGAACTTGGAACACGGTTCGAGATAAAATAATTTTATTTTGTCTTATAATTTTATCTGTACATAACCTTTGTCCTAAACCCTAAAAAGATTAAGGAAAGTATAAAATATAAAGCGCTGCTAAAGAATGCTATAAGTTTCTTAAGGACAGTTTTGCTTTAATTTCTGAAGAGATAGAAAAAGATAGGGATATTATTAAAGATTGATTTATTGGAGACAGATTATTAAATTTGAATTCTCTTAGATTCTACATTGAAGTAATTTCGTGGAGGAAAAGAGAAAACTTTTGTTCAAAAAGATATGTACGACATTAAATCATTTTCTAAATTAAAGTTAAAAGAATTACAATTTCTGATGTAAACGAATTTATATTGTTGTAGAGAAGATTTAGATTTTTTGCTATCAATTATATAGATGCCCAATTGTTAAAAGGCGACTCTAAATTGGTCAAATATTTTTTATGAGAAAAATTCTTTAAATCACGATTAAAAAATGAATTAATAAGTAATTGAAAAATTGTGGAAAAATTATGGATTTTTATAATATTTCTTTTCATCATGAATGTAAAGATATTTACTCTTTGGATATATTACGATAAAAGGATGGCGAGAAGAAAAATTGCTATTTCACGAAACAAGACTCGAGTCTCCGTCAACAAATAGTCAATCTGTTAAATACGTTTATCCAACCAAGTTGAATAAAATGTTGCGCGCCTGTTAATATTTTTAGATTCATATTTGATGACGAATAGATAAGAAGCGAAAAGTAACGAGACTAGAATTTATTTGCACAATTCTCTGCATCTGATCGATTAACATCGATTTATATTAATGTATATTAATGTCTATTATTAAAAATGATACTAATAATATTGTAAAGTAAATATTGACATTGATATAAGAAACATTTATCTTATCGAATATACTTTTGCTCGTAGTAAAATTTCTCATATATGCTTTGCGAGTTTTTTGAATTACTTTGACACTCAGGACTTTGTCACAAAAGACTAAAGCTAAATGTTAATGAATGACACTCGAGCGAAAATTAAATCGTTAACATTCATTAGCATTTTACTAGATATAGGCACTTTTATTAAGAGATTATTGTTACAACATTACATTCAATTAAGAGTTCCTTATAGTACAGAATCTAAATATTATTTAATTGAGTGTAATATAATTGAGTGTACGATCATAAATAAGGCAATTCTTGCGAATTTTAAAACTCTTTTTTTCTAACGTAAGCGTTAAGGAAGTTTTATCTATCTTCCCTTAGTTAAATAATAAATTTATTTTCAAAATTGTTTAATTCAAGATTAATATAATGTAAACATAGTATTAACGACATTTAATTTGTAAATGTCATACTGCATAATTATTGTCAATTTTACGTGCGATCAATAAGATAGGTTTTGTGCTTTAAAAAAGGACGAACGAACGAACGAACGAACGAACGAAAAGAAAAAGAGAAAAAAATCAAAATCACAATTTTTCAATTTTATCTTTTAAAAGAAGTGAAATTTATTGAGAGATACAGAGAATAATAATTGAAGGCTCAGCTGTAAAAATATTCAATATCAATGCGAGAAATTTAAAAACTGTGAGAAAAAATTGTGAGAAAATACTTGAATAAAAATTATTTATTATTTTAGGATATTCTTTCAGACTCCGTAAGGAGAGACTGTATATACGGCTCGTAGAATGCGCCTACCAGCAAACGCTTTATACGCTTTATACGCTTTATACGCTTTGTACGCTGGTACTGCATTGTGTCGCATCGTTATCCAACATCCTGATTCCACCGCGGTGAATAAATTGCTCTTCTCTCATTAATAGATTCTAAATATTATCCTACGCTACGTTATTTCGTCACGCGATATTCGGTATCGGTATCGGTGTAACGTCGCAGACGCAGCATCGCCAGATTTATATCGTTCAAAGATGATTTTAATATAAATTTATTACTTTATTTAATCTTTGTTAAATCTTTTCCTGTTCTCGGGAAGCAAGCTTTTCTGTATTTTCATAGGATGCATAATCAATTACGATGCCGGCAATTATTCCTTTGGCTTTCGTATATAATGTAACGTAATAGAAATCGGCGTTACAAGTCACGGTACTTCGGTTACATCACCGTACACATATATTTACAGAGCACTAGGCACTAGGCACTAGGTACGCCTCGCTAGTCGGACGAATTGTTTTTCCCTCTTTTCTCCGTTTTTCTTCTTCTTCTTCTTCTTCTTCTTCTTCTTCTTCTTCTTCTTCTTCTTCTTTTTTTCTTTTCTATCGCTGAATTGCCGGTTTTTCACGGTCGAAGATATCCGGCCTTGCGCTTGTCGATTTGCATACACTCTCGAGACGTGCACACGGCAGCTCTTTCCGAGAATCGTTAGATATGCGAAAAGCCGGAAAGTGTGGTATAACAAGGACGGAGCGGTTGGATATCTCGCTTCCTTCGCCGAGACCGTTTTCTCGCCCGGTATCGCTAATACCGCAATCTCGTCCTGTCGTTAACCACGTCGTTTCACGCAGTTTCCGACTCCATTCGACGATGAGAAGCTAATTATCTGTTTGCGTCGATCTGAACGTCATGAGTCCGATCGGAAAAAAACGTGATACGGGTTTTATAAGCGGTCGTTGTCGATCGATCGTTTCCTACGAGATTTCTGCGCCGAGATGACTGCAACTATTTCCAGTGATACTCTTTAATTGCAATTTACTTCACTTGGATTTGCTCCTTAACTTCGATCTACTTCACTTAAGTTTGATTACTTCTATCTAACTTTGCTAACTGTGCTCCTCCTATCTAAGAACCCATTAATACTCCCTCGAAATATTTTATGAAATTCTAACTCGTATCTTGTCGGTGAAGGTACCGGATAGGATCTTCCATCTTATTTATAGATTCGCATTTGTTTTTGTCATATAACTTACTAATTATAATTATAACAATATCGAATTAAAAATAACTTTGATGACATTTCTTGTAACTCTCTCTTGATTAACATATGATTTCTTAATATATAATTTTTTGTTAAAATTCTCAGTAAAAGGATCGTTTCAAGAAATTTTCAACTTTATGTTTATAATGCGAATATTTTTATTATTGTTAATGGCGATTATTTTTAATGAAAAAAGTATGTATAAAAATATTGGATTTGGATAAATCTTTAATTAATAATAATTATTATATCTGCAACAAAATTGAAATAAATTCGTAAATTCTATAATTTTCTATAATTTTTCTATAATTTCGTACTTGTTACTTGTTACTTCTAAATGCTATATAAAGTCACGCACGTTTTAGAAAATTAAATTTTTATTCCTTATTCTGCGATTGGACGATATCACGATAAACGAGGTTGGTTGTGGAACGTCAGGAATGTCATTAAGCCGCGAGACTTTCGATTAACGTGACGAGTGGGCGTTAGCATATGATAAAGGATAAAGATCGGCGTTACATGCGCGATATTTTTGGTCATCCTAGCCGAGGGTAAAATAATCCGCGATAAGATTATCCGCGTGATGCGAAGGAAGCAAGGAAGCAAGGAAAATCTTACGATGCGATCGGCGATTAGGAAACGAAATTAGAAAATATCTCTAGAAATTGTTTCTCTTCTCGAGAATAAATCTCGTGTATCTTGGATCAAATATCGCAGTTTTCAGTTTGTACGTATGTATCTATATATGCGCACGCATAACACCGGTAGCATCTTGGATCGAAATGATTTTTCACCGTAATACTACCTCGGATGCGGTAGTAACGTCACAATGATATGTACGCTCAATGGCAAGTGTTGCTACCAATCGGTACCACTAATAGACTAGTCCTATCCTTATCCGCGTTTTCTTTAGAATACGCATAGAATACGAATTTCTTTATAAGAGAGGAGGAATAATTTATTTGATATTTTCGCCATATGAATAATTTCGTAGTTTGTAAAATGGAATCGACGCGACCGAGATCTCGATATCGTCGGCGGCGTCGGTTGTTTAAAAAGAATTTTATTCTTAAACGCTAGTAAATGCTTATTCAAGTCGATGTCATCAATTCTTTTTTAACTTTCGCGAGTAAGTGAGGCAAGTGCCAATCGTGGAACAGATGCTTATAACAGATCTTTTCAAAATTTATTTTACTTTTGTTTTTTGTTCCGTTACAATCATTTTATTAAGTATACGATCAACGTATCGTATATATTTGATTTCTACCAAGTACGATTATCGCGATTATTTGATCGCGGTTCAATTTGCGTAAATATGGAAACATTTCGGTAGCGTGGATAAACATCAGATATACATCAGAGACATAATATTGTATGGAGTGATGTGAACACACTCACTCCATAAACGTCTATATAAGCGATTACTATATCTGAAACATGTTATTACGCAAGCTCTCTTGAAGTTTCACGATCGCGAACGGGAGACTAGCGTGAGAAGTAAGATTTCATGGCAAAAATCACGAGAGGTGAAAGTCAAAGGTTCGTGACTTACAAAAAAATATTTTTACCAAAAGATTTTAGTGCCTCTAAAGAGATTCTATAGTTACTACTTTTCATATTAATTTACATGAAAGAACAATTTGCTCAAGTAAACATTTGGCCAGATATACAAAAATAAAAATACTATTTTTATTTTTATTTAATAATAATTTTGTTGGGCTATCAAAATATGTGTAATTATGTAGGATATTCATATTTATTGTTGAAATCTAAACTTTTTATATATTCGGTATTATCATCATGCTTAAGTGTAATTATTATACATAATTACTTGGACCGAATTTTTCAATATTTGAGCAAAACCATTTTTCTCATGTTATGCGTAAAGTCGAATGAGAAAATGATTTCTAATATACTTATAAAACACATAATTATAATTTATAATTCTGCCAAATAGAATGTGATAAAGAAGAGTAATCTCGTGTTGCGCGTTCGATAAACGCGTTCTCGGTACATAATAATTATAATGATATATCTTATATATTTACGCAATCTGAATTTTTTTGTTCGTGTAGGTATCATTACTATCGAGGAACATTCCTATCGATTTGAATTGTTTTTTGCTCGTTGTAATACGTATGTATGATATTCATTGAGTAAATAATTAAAATGATTATGAGCACGGTAGAAAAGAGATACCGCATACATTTCTGATATGGCAGTGAATCGATATTCAGGGACATCGTGGTAATATTACCGCATGAAGTATAACCACACGTATATATGGCCACGCACTCACGCACACACGCACGCACGCACGCACGCACGCACGCACGCACGCACGCACGCACGCACATATTTGGCATAGGAGAAGTATCACAGTATCGGTGTTTTATCTACCTATTACCTCTCTGTTCGTGTGCGTACGACCGTACACATGTCTCGCTGATATACATATGCCTGCATACATATAACGATTCGATGCATTATTCATCGGCGAGTTGGAACAGTACCAACGCCATGCGCGGTGCGATAACACAACTATAGCATCTTCTCTGAGAAACACAGAAATAGATGGTGCACCCGTCCGTCAAAAGAGTTAGAGTTGGAGGCGCGCACCCACGAATGAAAGGACCCAAATCCATTTCCGGTAACCATTTTCATCTCAATTACTGGCACACCGGTATGTTCACCACGTCTCATTAATATAATCGTAATTAACTCGCAAGAAATGACATGAAAAACAACCTGACGAAAAATTATTCTCCGCTCTTTTTTCTTATCTTCGTGTACTTTGTATATAACTTCTTTCATCTGCAAATTACTATCTAATTTAAATTGAATTTTTTATCAAATCAACATTTTATTACATCTTTTTGACAACGTTTCCTTCTTCTACTCTTGAATATATTTACAGTAAGCTAAAACGAATTAAAGTACTTTAAATGAAAAGAAAAAAAGTTTTCCAAATAAAGTAACGGTCTGAATGTCAAGTTTGATTTAACCTTATCTCTTTCAGCCAATAAGAAAATGCAAAACACAAGATCGAATCCATCTATTTTCCAATTCGATTACTTTGTATTCGCAATTATTTTGCATTTAACGGGCATAATCTTTTTTCCTACGATAATCTAATATAGCGCAAAAACGCTTTTTAATCTTACATTGACTAATTTTTAACGCGCGCGCGAAATCTACGAAATTAAATAAGCCAAAACATTAGAAACTTCTTAGTCTTGTAGAAAATGGTAATGAAAAAGTAATGTTTTAGTTAAATTGTCTTGTATATTATCTAATAAATGGAAGTTGGTAATAATTAACACGCATATTCGCCATCAAGTGTAACTGTCTTCCCGTTCACATTAAATATATTTAATTATTTCCTAATAGGAAGAATAGTATAAAATAGTATAAAACTAAGATATAACATTAAATATAACATAAATTAATAAAAATACTCACTTGTAGGAATAAAAAGTTATTCTCGCAGATGACATATGATGAAACAAAAAATTAATAATTTTGAAAACAATTTTTTTTTATTCTGTATGTTGCGGGATAAGTGAAATGTAATTATTGATAATTAATTACTTAAATAAAAATACGGGGCATTCTATGTATACATGCGATAAAATAATTTTGGGGCAATCGCGTATTTCTTTTTTTTTTTCTACGATTTTTTCACGATCATTACGCACGATAAAAAGCAATTGACAAAATTCATACAATAAAATAAGACGTTAAAAATACCTGGAGTACTTCTTTTCAACAGAATATTTGCAGCAATACGACATAATGTGTGTGTATAAATTTATTCCGATAAACCGTATTAATATGTATTACGGATTAATGTGTATTACCATCGCGGTTATAAAAGCTCTTGTAAAGGCCTATTTAAGCGGAATTATATTAGATCGATATCGTGTGAGACTATCTCGTATATAGCTCATAACGTAGTTTCAATTTCATATCAGTATCGTATTGTATCGTATTGTACACATTGATACATATTTTTTAATTGAGAATAATGTGCAACATTAATGTGTGTGTGTGTGTGTGTGGAGGGGGGGGGGGGCGGCGCGCGCGCGTGTGTATGCGTGTGTTCATTAAAGTTAAAAAATATGTATAAAAAATTAAATTATTAATTTTATTATACTCAATAATAATTCGCGTAATATTTATGAAGATGTTTTAGATGAAGAGGTTTTAGGAAGATATAAATCTTCCTAAAATCTCTTCATAGATACTACGCGAATTATGATTGAGATAATGAGATTAATATTAATTTTTTTGTTAAATATACATACACTCTTCTTATATTATTTATTTATTATTATTTCTTCTTATATTATTTATTTGGATAAAATGCAATTGATATTAATATAATTACAATAAGAATAAGGATTATATAATCTCGTTTGTTTTTTCTTATCTTTTCTGTTGTTTGCTAAAATAAACATACTAGTTACAATTATCTAAGTCATTTAGTAACTGTGTTATTAATAAATTTATTTTATCAGAAAGCTTATTGTTGTTTTGTTTCTATATATATTAATTATAAAGTTTGTTAGCGGTAAATAGTTTTAAGATAAATTTTTTGTGTTTAAATATCTGTATGTTTATTCTTTATGTTTCAGATTTCATGAAAATGGAGAGCCAGACGATACATTCTTTTTTATCGAGGTAATAATATTCGATAATATTATTTACAAATTTGTTAATTGTAATTTACAAATCGAACAAATCGAACAAGATAACTATATTATTTTATTATTGCGTTATCTCTCGATAACACTAATCGCACGATAATCGCAGAATATCAATATAATGCGATAAAATACGATTGCGTTTCTCAAATGTGGTTCTTTCTTTCGCTATTTAAAACGAGTTTTTCCTTCGTAAAGCAAATGAATAAATTTTAAACAAGTGTGAAAAGTATAAATAAAAATTATAAATTTGATAAAATCAATAATTCATCACTAGAGAAATGACATACCATTGAGATAACTAGTGACAGATGTGATGTGCTTGATGTGTAATTTTGTGTATGTAAAAATCATTTATTACCTGAAAATAAAATTTATGAAAAATAGGTGAAGATAATTCAATAATATGACATTGTTTTGACATCTAATATATAATATATAATTTAATTACCGATTAATTATCGATGCAATATCGCTTAATATAGTATGTTGATTTTAGCAGAAATCTCGAAACAGGTCTTTTCAAACTGCTTATCATATATAATCGAAATGCCAAACGATATCTGATGAAATTGCAACGAATCATTCGGGAAACGAGCAAATCGAGAGGGACAGAGGAAAAAAGGAAGAAAAGGAGAGAGAGAGAGAGAGAGAGAGAGAGAGAGAGAGAGAGAGAGAGAGAATTCAGCGTTGAATGAATTGAATGGGTGCCAGAAAAGCGAGACGGATCGAAAATATCCACGAGCGGAATTCGACAATTGCACATGCAAGAAGCGACAGAAAGCGATGTCTTGCAAATAGACGCGAGTCTTTTTATTGTCATCGATAAATATAACGATAAATATAACGGTTAAACCGGAGCAAGAGAAAGATATTACACCCAGAATTTCATATGAAAACTAGAAGTTATTCGTTCAAAGCGCACTCATCGTGATAATTCTCTTCCTCCGCGACCATCTCAACCACACTCTCTTCTCCTCCCTCTTTTCCTCTCTTCTTTTACCCCTCCTCTCTCGCTTTTTATTGATTTAATCGTTCGTTAAACATCCATCTTCATATATATATGTAAATAAATGGATCTATAATTTTATCAGCGATGCGATATTCATAGCTGTAGCGAAATAAGAAATTCGTTTTTCCAATATTAATAAATGAATTAATCGAAAAGAAATTTTGATTGAAAAAAAATAATTATTGGATTATTGGATTTAATTAAATATAAAAGCATTTGATATTCATCAACATATTTTGATCTACAATAGCTCGATTTTTTTTTGTATTTTGCCTTAAATCTTTATTTCCTGCTATTATTCAAACAAAAAATTACTTAAATAAAGATTATGGAATTATCTTTATAATTCCATAATCTTTATTTAATATATATGTGACGAAATTTATTAATTATACAATTTAATTAATTTAATAAATTTATTCTGAAGATGTGAGTTGCAGTGCGTATTATTGTAACTGTTGTCTATCATTGTGTCTAAATCTTATTGTGATTTATTCGGAAGATGTCGATTTGAAGAAAATGTAAAAACAATACTTTTCTATCAAGATTTCTATCATAATTTAAGTTTTTGTTCTACAATATTTTATCAACTTTTAACAATTTGAAAAATTAATGGAAATGTTTTATGGAATGTCAGATTTTCTAGAGATAAATTTCTCGAAATATTTTTCAGTAAATTCAATGCTAATATTATCCTCGATAAAAAATCTAAAAAAAGCAATTCTTCATATGCGAAAGAAAATTATATTCCAGTAGAAAGATTATATCATCATTCCACGTTATCGCTTTGAATCTGAAGTCTTAACGCTATTATCATAGATGCCCCGGCACACGGAAGCCACACGTTTTATCTTCAGTCGCGGAATACCGTTATTATCTTATAAAATTCTTTATGCAAATACGCGCGATACATGTCATATTTCCTAGCAGCTCGATTGAAAAAAGTATTCCTGATAAAATATCACACATTTCTTATCTACGATAGGCATTTGCGCTACGTTTATGTTGCGTTTATTGTCGCATTAATCGACAATAAACAGTAGTGTGCGGGGATAATAATTTGATAATATTTATGTATGTACATACGTTAGGCGGGCAATTGGTGATAATTGTTGTCTCATGTAGTGATGTACTGCTGATTAGTAATAGTTGAATCAAAGTGCTTAAAATTATATAAATCTGTTTCTTAAATGTTGATACACGGAAAGAATAGTATTGTGAAAGTATTTAAAAACTTGGCCAGATATAAATTTGAAAATAATAACATAGAATGTTCGAATTGATTGTTAGAATATCAACAAATTTTGCATTATTATCATCATGATTAATCGTCTTACGTAATTTCAATGATTTAACAAAATTATTTTAAAATCTATCTAAGCAAATGTTAGATTTTTTTTAGATATCTCAGCAAAATTCTTTTTGTGCAGAAAAAATGCGAAAAAAACATTTCCATATTACATTCCCTCCCCCTCCCTCTCTCATATTTAAACATTTTATCTCGACAAAACTATATTCAACCGTTTCGAAGATTTTAACAAAACATATGCCAGTTTCAAGAAAATTCAACACACACATACACACACACACACACACACACACACACACACGCGCGCGCGCGCGCATACACACACACCCACACCCACACCCACACCCACACAATCCAGATATACAATCGATGATAAAAGTTTAGATAAATATATTAAAAAAAAATTCTGATCTTATACGAAATGTATTGAATGATGAGATTAACCAATGAAATGATAAAAGATGTTAGAGCGAAGATTTTATGATCCAATTATGATCTGATAAATAAAATTTCTCAGATATTCCCTGCAATACAATTTTCAGAATCGCACTAATCAATTGTAAAATTTATATTTACAATTCTTACATAAATTATAATGCTTAGAAATTATATAAATTTGTTTGCGAAACAGAATAACAATCACGTTGATGTTTTCCTGTTATTAATGCACTATATAAATGTTAAAAATATTATAAAACACTCTTCTTTTTCTACGTATTACGAACGATATCTTGACGAGATATCTGACGATGTATTGCACATTGTTACATAACTCGCGTTATCGCACGCTATTGCACAGTTGCATTAATTACGAAATATTTGCGCTTCAATATGCAGTTTAACCTACTCTCTCATGCAACATGTATGTACATATATTACGTACGAACAATAAAGATGATAACGAATTGAAATAACTTTCATTTACATTTTTATCTCAATTTTGTTGAGAAAAGTGACATTGATCTGTTTCATTTCTTTCCGGTTCATTTCATTCCGGTTGACCTTACATTTCGACTTTATGTACTCGTCTTATTTGTATCTTTTTTAAATTTTAATTTAGTGAGACTGCGAGTTTTTCTTCACAATTTACTAATGCTGCACGTGAATTTTGTTGCAGGACGATCTCCTAGGAGTAACACTATGAAAGGTGAGTAAACAAATAATTTAAAACCTCAATCAAAACGATTTAAAAAAAAATGGACAATCTTTGTAAACTGGATATAAGTCGTTTTTCCGGAGATTAGAAATAAGAACAAAATTCGTTTTCGGTATTTTAAAGATTTCTTGTCTGTAATTGTCTGTAAAATAAATGGGAATTGTCTGTAAAATAAATGGGAATTATTAGACCGTAATAGGATAGAGACAGGAATAAATCTGACAGAATCTTTCTTGAAGATTCTAGTAAAGACGTTCATGACGTTGTAGACAGGATATATTTCATACATAAAATATTTTTTTTTTAACCTTGATATTTCTGCACGTAGAATGACAAGGACAATATCGAATTACATAAGAAAAAACGATACGATTTCACTTATGTTTGTCTCTATCAATTTCTATTCATTTTAATTCCGGTTTAATCTACTCTTTATTTTTTTCTAATTTTTAGAACGAAGAAAAAAAAGAAATAAACCAAGTAAGTAAACCGAGATTTGAAGAAAGTTAATCTGTATTGGAAAAGGGGAAATGGGATTCAGAAAATTGAGACGTGTTTGAAATTCAATTCAACTCTCTGGATAATTCTCTTATTATAAAAGGCTTTAATATTAAGATACCAAAAAGACATGCAGCAGATTTTGTTGCTACATCTTAACAAACTTTTAGCAAACAAATAGTTTATAGTATCTCTCCTTGAACGAACATTCTGTGTAAAAACAAGAAAAAGAAATTTCGTCCACTCGACGAATAATTGTTAAGTCGCTATGTGCGTGTCTCATCATGTAAAATGAGATGATGCGTACCGGTTATGATAACACACAATCGGGTTATATAAAATTTGTTATATAAAACGGGACAACTTTGTGTTCGATGAATATGGATATTTGAAAAATGGTGACACGACATTTGGAATTCTTTATTCGTTCGGTACAATTCGTGTCATATTGTTCGTAATATTTTAATTTTGTATGTGTGTCACACACGGATATAAAATCGGACTCCAGGCAACGTGACCGTTTGCCAATCAAATATTCAGACAAGAGCAAACCAGCAAACACAAATTTTAGTCGCATACGTATACAATATTATCACGGTTATCCTCATTGTCCCGGCATTTCTCATGGCTTGGAGATATTTATCGAGTCGAGTATACTGTTTCGCAGCATCAATCGCATTAACATTGCTTTTACTTGTAATTATCCATATATAATATTTTTTATAATATAGAAAATATTCAAATAATGTTCTTTCTTTGGTGACATTTAAATTATATCGATATAATGTATATTAAGAATTATATGAAAGTTTTATATCGTTTCGTGCAGCTTTAAGCACAATATTATATCTTTTTACGATTGAACTTTCAAAAGGAAAGCCACAATCGATTTGAAAACCGATGGAGTATTAACAATAAACGATAGAGGTAGTGAATTAATTTGCTATCATTATACACACATCTACTTAACATTACCGGTTAATTATCTGTGCAGGAAAAGCTCACGACTCGACCACACATGGTTTTGCGAAGCAGTATCCCGGTTATACATTATACACCAGGAAAAAATCGGGAGGTACGTTTATAACGATATAACGATATTACGATATTACGTCACTCGTCCATAAAATATAATCCATGTATCGCGTCAGAGCAGAGTATTGTAAGTGCGTTAATATGTTTAATGAAAAAAAGGTATTCATTTAGGAACAACAAGCGTTGGGGGATCGAAATCAGGTCGCGGAATTTTACTGAGGACCCTTGTATTCGTCTTCCTGGCTACGTTCCTCTGGCTTCAGCTTCACGTAATCAGTTTGACGGGGCGAGATGATTCTGGGCAATCATCATCGAACGAGACACTTTTCTCCCTCGTGCCTCAAGAATTCCACAGGTAACTTTGCAAATTCTGTCATTATCGTTAATGTTGCAATAAAATTGTTATCTTTATTTATGACACTCTAAATATCAAGTGTCATTTCACGAGCTTAACGGTAAAAATACATAAAGCGTATGGAATGTCAAATCAATTTTTCAATTTTAAACATGTTTAGTAGTTCGTTTTCTTCAAGAAAATAAAATTAAAAAAATCTATTTCTCTATTATTACTATAGAATTGTTCCTTTGGCACCGATAATAATTATGTCGATAATCACTTTGCGTTCTGCTAATGTTTCGTTTTGTATTTTCAGATTTTTAAAAGAGGGACGTAACTTATCTACGAGCTTGACGAATTCTAGCTCGGGAGCGCTTACAGAATTGGAAATGACGGAAATCCGTCGTAAAATCGAACGGGCGAATGCAGAGCAAAAAGTATATAATGAGGAGGCGTTTGGGCCGTTGGCGAGCGATGCTCCAATTATAGTCATCCAAGTACACACGCGACTCACTTATCTACGGCATCTTATCGTCTCACTGGCGCAAGCTAAGGACATAGAGCAGGCTCTTCTCGTATTTAGCCACGACATTTGGCACCCGGATATCAACTACCTCGTGCAGAGCGTCGACTTTTGTAGGGTCATGCAAATCTTTTATCCACATAGCATCCAGACTCATCCTTATACATTTCCCGGTGAAGAGCCCAACGACTGTCCACGAAACATTCGTAAAGAACAGTAGGTCAAAATTTGTTGTCTTAATTTATAAATGATCTTTTTCTCAATTTAATCGAATCTTGTTTCTTTTTCACAAAACATAGGGCTTTAAATTTGAAGTGTACCAACGCTAAGCATCCGGATTTGTATGGTCACTATAGGGAAGCAAAATTTACGCAGACCAAGCATCACTGGTGGTGGAAAGCGAACAGAGTGTTCGATCAATTGTCGATAACGAGAAACCATACCGGAATGGTTCTCTTCCTCGAGGAGGATCACTACGTTGCCGAAGATTTTTTACACGTGCTTAGACTCATGGAACGTACTTGCAAGCTCAATTGTGAGAGATGCAACGTTCTATCGCTGGGTACATATTTAAAGACGTACAACTATTTTACGGACTTTAGTCGTAAGGTGAGACTTTCTCCCGATTATCTTTGGCATTCGTAATTTTGCGTAATTTTGCTTTGCGCGATGTTTCACGCATAGAACATAAGGACAACATTTAAATTATATCGGGCCGGATATACGTTGAGAGGCACATTTTTACAGGCGATTTGCGTAGACGACTTGACTTGATTTGTTTAGCAACTCGCACACACTCACATCTTCAATCATAATTAAGCGACAATACGACAACGGCGATTTGCTCATCGGCGCACGAGTACTTTGTCGCTGGCGCTTGTAGCGTGACAATATCTGGCAAAATTAGCGCGAGCGTTACCGTATAACCTGATAAACGTGACCCTTCGCTTTCAACTATTTTTTTTA